AATCTCCAGCCAAAGCCCATGGAATATATTGATATTTTTTTTTATTTTTGGTGAATGTTGAAGCGAGTTTTACCCATTAGGGCTAGTTGTGATCCTATGGGACTTGTGCCCTTCTGGTGGCAGTGAGTAGGATGTGGCGGCTCTGTTCTGGCCCATGGTGAGGGTGGATTTTAGCATCACTGGAGTGCCATGCCGCACACTCATCACTACTCCAACGCCGCAGCACACGCAGTTTGGCATGGTGGAAACTGTCATGCGGGGCCAAATGCATGGTCAAGTCGGGTCTTGCTTCGGGGACGGGTTTCAGCTCCTTCAGAGGCAGACGTGTCTGTGTTTCAGCAGCACTGGATGCTGTAGCAGTCAGGGAAAAACGACAATTCCCCTGTCAACGCTCTTGCGCAACGACTCCACAGCAAGCAAAGGGGACCAGTCTGTGCTTGGGGCTCTGCAGCAGATCAAACGCTTTCCCGTCAGCCCTTGTTTGCACAGCTGCCATGCTCGGAAAAGTCACCCGAAGTCGTTGGTTGCCCAGTTCAGTTTGCTCCTTTAAGTCTTGCCTGGCGATTTGCTCATATGCTAAAATATTGCTCAGGTGCAACATTGTCTCCATTCATTTGTGTTGCTGACACCTTTTGTAACAGCACATGGACAGAACCACAGACCTGAAAGCTCCGAGGGCAAACTTGGTAATTTCACATGGTTGCATCAAGCCTTGTGGCTCGTGTCTGCCTGTGGCATGGCATCCAAATCAGCGCTGCCCTGAAAACGGTGAATCCATCCTTTCTCTTCACAGTTTTTTACCAGGATTAATCACTCTTCATGGTTTTTTGTATACTTAAATTTCCCCGGTTGTCACTTCTAGATTTATTTTCCTCTTCTTTGTCCCCTGGATTGCAGCATCTCATGGGCCTTGTAGGGTGAAGAGTCCTGAGTGAATTGGTTGCAGTATTGGCCTCTCTTTATTTGTATTTTTATTTCTAGCTGTCTTCTTTCTGTCGAATGGCCTCAGAATGTTCCTGAAAATTAACAAAGCAGCAGTGGCCGGAGGTGGCACCTGCCCTTTGGGTCACAGATGGGGGATTTGCGGGCACACACCAGGGTGTGGGAGATGCGAGCAGCACCTGGGGTTTGCCAGGAAGGAGGGAGAGCATCAGGGAAAACAGCAAGTGTGATGAAGGGGAGGTTAAAAGGGTGGTAAGGGAGATTTCCTTAGCTGGATGTTTCCTTGTTCATAACAATTTATGTAATCTGATCTAATTTGCTTTAACCAAGCCCATGTTTTGATGTTCACTTTTGGGGCTTTTTTTCTTTTTTTGGAAACAATTAATGGGAACTGCTGTCACCCCAGTCCATGTCCATGTCCCCTCTGCTACAGCCATAATGTTGCACCATCACGTACCACAACAACATTGGTGCGTTGCTTTGCGCAGAGTTAATCCAGGGCAGGTTTATCTATTGCAGCGCGGGAGCCACACGTTGGGAAGGGGGGAGGCCAGAGAGGAAAGACAGAGGGAAGAAAAAGGCTGCGGAGAAGTGGGGTTAAGATCCTCTCACCGAGACAGGAAGGAGAAGGGATTGGACTAATACGGCCCATTGGTTAAGATAATACTCTGGGGTTGGGGGATCTGTTTTCTCAGCCCCCTCTGCTCCTGCCTCTCATGTAATTACAGAAAAACTTACAGCTTTTCTGCATACTGCTTCCCTTTTTGTAAAATGAGAGCAGCACCTTTTAAAAAAATAAATCCTGGCAGGTCTTGAGGAGATCAGATAGTCTGGTGAGTATTTCTGCTAAGCGAGATCACCGGTGGGGCTGTGTGGAGGCATTTGGAAGCTTAGCAGAATGAATCCTCTGAACCTTTGAGGTTCACGCGGCGCTTCTAGAGGGGGATAAAAGTGGAGTTAATTAAGCCATTCCCAAATCCCTCCTGATCCGTGACCATCAACTAGCTGCCGCTGCACAGTGCTTTCCTCAGCTCTTGATGAAACTGAGCATCCGTGCAAGCCAGAAATGTCTTGTTTGGCTGTCACCTGCATGTCTGGCACTGCCGATCTGCTCGCAGAGGAGTGGGACAAACTTGTCCCAGTCCCCATCGGCCTTTGTAGTGTGGACAAAATGCTGTGAGGATATCACACCCGATCTCCCAAATCCTGGAGTGTTACTGTAATGAACAGTGTTCAGCCTTGAAGGGTTAATTATTGTGTATCAGGGCTGTAGGCAATCGCTCGCCCATGCTTTAAAGTGAAGAACGGAGCGCACTAATTTCTGCGGGTGGAGTGAAAGGCAGAGGAGCGGGTGGCTGCTGCTGGCTGCAGTGACCTCTGCTGGGAAGCCCATGGCTGCTCTGGTCCAGCTTCAGCATCACAACCTGCAACTTAATCTAAACCATAGGATTCTCCCCAAGTGATTTCCATTGGTTTTTTTTTTTTTTTTTTTTTTTTTTTTTTTTTTTTTTTTTTTTTTTTTTTTTTTTTTTTTTTTTTTTTTTTTTTTTTTTTTTTTTTTTTTTTTTTTTTTAATTTTGAATTCCATTTTCCTTTAAATAGCTTGTCGTTTGAGAGTCCATCTGAGTAGAGAAATGCTGTGCGGGACAAGCTGCTTCATTTGCAGGCATGTGATGTGCACTTCACCAGGAATATTAAGCACCATGTAACTCCACGATTAAGGCCTTGCTGGTCTTGGGGAGGATGAGAGAAAGTGGAAAAAAATACCTCCTTCCCATCTCAGCCAGCCCCTCAAGTGCAGTGGCCACCAGTGGTTGGGGTGGCTGGTGTGCGCAGGTATGACCTCCCAAAGGGACATCTTGTTCCAAATACCCTCATCCCTATGGGGGTGGCTCGCTTTGTACTTTGGGGGTGATTCAGCTTCTTCTGCTGCCTTCTTCCAGATTACACTTTATATTCACTGTCTCCCTGAATCCCACGTGCTCACATCCTGCATCTGATTTCAAAGAGAGGCAGATTGGCTCAATACAGACAACCCCACACTGGTAGGACTAAACCCTTTCTCCCCCCTTCACTTTAAAACCGAGCAAGTTTATCCACCTTCAGAGAGCGCAGCGGCACAGTGCCCATTTGGTTTGCAAATCAGAAAGGGGAGAGGGTCTTGCAGCAACCCTCAGCGTGCAGCGTTGCGTGTCTGATGAGCTCTTTTCTGGCCTCTGCCTCCCTCGCTGTTCGTCTTTGTGGGTAACCCACCCGTTAGCCCTGTGTGTGACAGTTAGGTGTTGCTGGCAGCTGTCTCAGAGGGGGTTAGGGTGGTTTGGTGAACCTCTGAGGTTCTCAAAAATAGAAATGCAAAACATTAATATGCGCATGGTAAAAGTCATATGGCAGACTAAGATGGAGGCTTTAAACAGAAAATGCTATAGTAGATTATTTGTGTTAACACTGCCTGATCATGATGGTATGAGATACACAAATGATCACATGAAAGTGCGTGTGCATAGACGAAAATGGATAAATACGTATAATAATTTCCATTAAAAGTGTCTATTTGCTTGAAATGTCATTTGGGATCCTAGTGTACCTTCAGCTAACTTCAACAAGGCAAAACTGCCCTTGCCCTAACTGTAACCCTTAAGGGACCAGGCACTAGACCTGCACAACAAAATAAAGGTTTCCAAACATGTGCTGTGTGAAGCCAAGTGGGTGGTGTATTGGTTTCCTATTGTCAGTATTAAGAACTTAATTTGTGACGCAGTCTATCTGGAAATTTTGCTAAAATATCATGGGATTTCCCAGATATTTATGTAGATTGAGGAGCCTACTCATGTATTTGTTGCTCTGACATCCTGTAGTGCATTATATTTGAGTTCACTTATTGTGGATGTTAAATTTCCTGTGTGTGAAGGTCCTTATATGAATGCAGCTTTTGATGGCTGATTATGGGCGTGAATTCAGGTCAGTCATAATCTTTCCAGTGAATTCAGAGGAAATTGGATTACTCTGCGTTCTTACGGGAAAGATCCTGCCAGGCACAGGGGACCTTCTGCTCTCAACATCTTCATGAAGACATTAGGGCACTTGGGACCATTGAGGATGAGGTTCTGACATATGATTAAGCATCTTAATTAAGCTACTTGAACCTTGAAACATGTAGAGAGTTTTGCATTTGCTGACAATGCACTTTTAGTTTCTGAACGTGTCCATCTGTTGTTTAATGAGTGGTCTCTGCTTAGCATTTCCCAGCTTTCTCTTGCTCTTAAAAGAACTGTCTGCAATTGATGTAATTAGTGTTCTGACCCTGGAGTTGTGCTAGTAGTCTCTTGAGGGTTTGCACAAGTTAAATGTATCCTTTGGAAATTATTTGTAAGCATTTAAGGAACAAACCCAGAGAGGCATTGCTCTGAGTAGTTAATTAGATGTATGCTTGTAGAGATGATTTTTCTCTTTAAAGCTAGCATTTCGACAAGAGGCTTAGTGGGAATGATCGGTGGGAATGGCGAGAGTGTAGAAAACCCATGAAGATGCTTGGAGCTGTTGCACAGAAACCACGTGGTGCTTAATAACACTGCAGGGAAATTCAGGCGTCCAGAGCAGGTGTGACACTGGAGCAGGGCGAATTTGGTGGGAAGGAGCTTGGGGCTGTTGTACAGCTGCTGCCTACCTGTGCCAGCTTCTGCACGGGGGCAAATCCCTGCCTTCTCCCTGCCAGCCTGCACCCTGCCCCCTCACACCCTGCTTTGCTGCTGTCCGGAGATTTCAACCTCCAACCAACCATCTTCATGCATCTGACACGGGAACTGTAAACCTCTAATGCCCCAGATACTTAACCCTTAAGTATTTTGGCTTCAGAGAGGACTGAAGGAATTTTCTGTGAGTAATAACAGTATTCTGGGCTGCAAAGCACTCCTGACTGTTTACTTTGGTCAAGATCATATTTTATGATGTTGAATAAAGCACTGACAAGTAGCATCTAACTAAAAATAGCTTTATGTTTTGCAGCCACGTAAAAAAATAAAAATCAGTATTTCATCTTATCTTATCTTATGGTTTTTCAGGATCAAGCATGAAAATATAGTTGCCCTGGAAGACATCTATGAGAGTCCTAACCATTTATATCTGGTCATGCAATTGTAAGTACTGAACATAATGATGTTTTTGTGTCAAAATCGCCAACTCATCTTGTTATGATTTTGTTCTTTAACCCAAAAGATGGGATACGTGAGAGGTATTTGTCTTGTGTGCTGCAGTCTGCAAAATCCTCAGCAGGTGGTTAAAAATGCATCTCTAGGCATGATGGGCTGGGCTGTTGTGAAATTGGGAACTAAGGTGTTTTGTGAATAGTCTTACCCAAATCAAACCAGAGTGAAGAGGAGATGTTAAGGGGATCAGAACTGGCTCCATACGTATGGAGTTGCCACTGTTTAGTTCTCTGTGACTCAACAGATACCTGGTCTGCACTGAGCGAGAGGTGACCACCATGTGCATGGGTGCTGGATTTGCAAGAAAGTATCATCCTTGTCTCAGCAGCAGTGGTAGCTCATATCATCCTTGACACGTTTCCCTCACCAGAGCCCCTCTTCTTCCCCGTTTTCTCCCTCTGAGCCTGAGAAGATCAGGTACATGATATGTCATGGTACATGATACATATCAGGTACATGATATGCTGTGGTTGACCTGGTCCTCCTGTCACATCCACCTGGCAGGGAGGAGGGAAGTGGTGCTCATACTGCTTACATACATACTAGCGCTGCATGGGGTTGTTGTAGCCGAAGTGCAGGACCCGGCACTTGGCCTTGTTGGATCTCCTACAGTTGGCCTTGGCCCATCGATCCAGCCTGTCCAGGTC